GTCAACAGAGAGAGAGAGAGAGAGAGGAAGGAAGAAGGAAATAGAGAGAGGAAGGGAAGGAAGAATGGAGAAAGGGAAGGAAGGAAGGAAATGGAGAGAAAGGAAGGAAGAAGGAATGGAGAGAAAGGAAGGAAGGAAGGAATGAGAGAAAGGGAAGGAAGAAGGAATGGAGAGAAAGGAAGGAAGGAAGGAATGGAGAAAGGAAGGAAGGAAGGAATGAGAGAAAGGAAGGAAGGAAGGAATGGAGAGAAAGGAAGGAAGGAAGGAATGGGAGAAAGGAAGGAAGGAAGGAATGAGAGAAAGGAAGGAAGGAAGGAATGGAGAGAAAGGAAGGAAGGAAGGAATGAGAGAAAGGAAGGAAGGAAGGAATGGAGAGAAAGGAAGGAAGGAAGGAAATGGAGAGAAAGGAAGGAAGGAAGGAAATGGGAGAAAGGAAGAATGAGAGAAAGGAAGGGGAAGGAATGGAGAGAAAGAAAGGAAGGAAGGAATGAATGGAGAGAAAGGAAGGAAGAAGGAAGGAATGAGAGGAAAAGGAAGGAAGGAAGGAAGGAATGGAGAGAAAGGAAGGAAGGAAGGAATGGAGAGAAAGGAAGGAAGGGGAAGGAATGGAGAGAAAGGAAGGAAGGAAGGAATGAGAGAAAGGAAGGAAGGAAGGAATGGAGAGAAAGGAAGGAAGGAAGGAATGGAGAGAAAGAAAGGAAGGAGGAAGGAATGAGAGAAAGGAAGGAAGGAAGGAATGGAAAGGAAGGAAGGAAGGAAATAGAGAGAGGGAAGGAAGGGAAGGAATGGAGAGAAAGGAAGGAAGAAGGAATGGAAAAGGAAGGAAGGAAGGAAGGAATGGAGAGAAAGAAAGGAAGGAGGAAGGAATGAAGAAAGGGAAGGGAAGGAAGGAATGGAAAGGAAGGAAGGAAGGAATGGAGAGAAAGGAAGGAAGGAAGGAATGGAGAGAAAGGAAGGAAGGAAGGAATGAGAGAAAGGAAGGAAGAAGGAATGGAGAGAAAGGAAGGAAGGAAGGAATGGAGAGAAAAGGAAGGAAGGAAGGAAGGAAGGAAGAGAAAGGAAGGAAGGAAGGAAGAGTTATTTAGCACTGCAGTAGGCCCGTGACCATGTTCGGGGTGGGGGTCACTGCCCAGGTGTTACTCGACTCCTGGGGACCTGCAATTAACCCCAGGTGAGGGGGGCGTGTTCAGGGGGTAGGGGGGTACTGTGAGTGTGTGTGTGTGTGTGTGAAGCTGTCAGGAGGTGGTCTTGATCTGACAGCTAACACACATTATGACAGCAACGAAGGTGGGGAATGACAGTATTTTTGGGGCTTGCTGTCTGTCACCCCCTCCTCCCCCCTCCCTCCCCCTTCAGTTGTTCTTCTCCTCCTCCTCCAAATCTCCTCCACACCTCCTCCTCCAAAGCTATTCCTCCACCCCTCTTCCTCAAACTTCCTCCTTCTTCCTCTTCCCTCCTCCTCGACCTACGCTCTCGCCCTGAGGGTAACCTGACCTAGTGAGGTATTGACTTAGTGAGAAGAGTTTTATCCAGACAATAGTGTTACGTCACCTCTCTGTCTGTCTGTCTGTCTGTTGAGAAGAAGCTTAGCATGGGAACCTTTGAGAATCCATCTTTGTGTGTGGTAGCTTAAGTAAGGTCAGTTGAATACGTTCTCCCACATCACTGAGATTAGGAGAAAACTTAACATGGAACAACTGAAATCCATCTTTGTGTGGTAGCAAAGTGAGACAGTTAGATACGTTCTCACATCACCAGTTAGGAGGAAGGCGTGTAGGAACGCTGAGAATCCATCTTTGTGTGTGGTAGCCAAGTGAAGACAGTTAGTACGTTCTCCATCACCAGTTAGGAGAAAAACAACGTAGGAACCTTGAAATCATCTTGTAATGGCGTAACTAGTGAGACAGTTAGATACGTTCTCACATCACCAGTTAGGAGAAAACTTGCTGTGCAGGAACCTTTGAAAATCCATAAAAGCTGGTAAGCAGTGAACAATTGAATGCGTTCTCCATCACCAGTTAGGAGAAAACTTAACGTAGGAACCGCTACGAGAATCCATCTTGTGTGGTAAGCTTAAGTGAGACAGTTAGATACGTTCTCCATCACAGTTAGGAGAAGCATAACGTAGGAACCTTTGAGAATCCATCTTTGTGTGGTAAGCAAAGTGAGACAGTTAGATACGTTCTCATCACCAGTTAGGGAGAAAAACAACGTAGGGAACCTTTGAGAATCCATCTTTGTGTGGTAGCTTAAGTGAGACAGTTAGATACGTTCTCACATCACCAGTTAGGAAAACAACGTAGGAACCTTTGAGGAATCCATCTTTGTGTGGTAGCTTAGGAGTCAGGTCAGTTAGTGCGTTCTCACATCACCGGATGGGAGAAAACTTAACGTGAGGAACCTTTGAAATCCATCTTTGTGTGGTGGCTTAAGTGAGACAGTTCTGATACGTTCTCACATCACCAGTTAGGAGAAAACTTAACGTATTAAGAACCTTTGAAGTCATGCTTTGTGTGGTAACCAGTGAGACAGTTAGATACATCACCAGTTAGGAGAAAACTTAACATAGAACCTTTGAGGGTATCATTGTGGTAGCCAAGTGAGACAGTTAGATACGTTCTCATCACCAATTAGGAGAAAGAGCATAGGAACCTTTGAGAATCCATCTTTGTGTGGTAGCTTAAGTGAGTCAGTTAGATACGTTCTCCCACATCACCAGTTAGGAGGAAAACTTAACGTAGGAACCTTTGAGAATCCATCTTTGTGTGGTAGCAAGTGAGACAGTTAGATACGTTCTCACATCACCAGTTAGAGAAAAACTTAACGTAGGAACCTTTGAAATCCATCTTTATTGTAGTAGCAAAGTGAGATAAGTTGAATACGTTCACATCACCAGGATTAGGAGAGAAACTTAACAAGACATTGATCCATCTTTGTGTGGTAACCAGAAAGTGAGACAGTTAGATAGATTTCTCATCACCAGTTAGAAAACTTAACATGGAACAGCCTTTGAGAATCCTCCATCTTTGTGTGGTAGCTTAGAGTAAGAGACAGTTGGGCGCGTTCTCCATCACCAGTTAGGAGAGAAAAACTTAACATGCAGAACAACTGAGAATCCATCTTTGTGTGGTAGCTTAAGTGAGACAGTTAGATACGTTCTCACATCACCAGTTAGGAGGAAAACTTAACGTAGAACCTTTGAGAATCCATCTTTTGTGTGGTAGCTTATGAGACAGTTAGATACGTTCTCTCACATCAACAGTTAGGAGGAAAACTTAACGTAGGAACCTTTGAGAATCCATCTTTGTGTGGTAGCTTAAGTGAGACAGTTAGATACGTTCTCACATCACCAGTTAGGAGGAAAACTTAACGTAGGAACCTTTGAGAATCCATCCTTGTGTGGTAGCTTAAGTGAGACAGTTAGATACGTTCTCACATCACCAGTTAGGAGGAAAACTTAAAGTAGGAACCTTTGAGAATCCATCTTTGTGTGGTAGCTTAAGTGAGACAGTTAGATACGTTCTCACATCACCAGTTAGGAGGAAAACTTAACGTAGGAACCTTTGAGAATCCATCTTTGTGTGGTAGCTTAAGTGAGTCAGTTAGATACGTTCTCACATCACCAGTTAGGAGGAAAACTTAACATAGGAACCTTTGAGAATCCATCTTTGTGTGGTAGCTTAAGTGAGACAGTTAGATACGTTCTCACATCACCAGTTAGGAGGAAAACTTAACGTAGGAACCTTTGAGAATCCATCTTTGTGTGGTAGCTTAAGTGAGACAGTTAGATACGTTCTCACATCACCAGTTAGGAGGAAAACTTAACGTAGGAACCTTTGAGAATCCATCTTTGTGTGGTAGCTTAAGTGAGTCAGTTAGATACGTTCTCACATCACCAGTTAGGAGGAAAATTTAACGTAGGAACCTTTGAGAATCCTTCTTTGTGTGGTAGCTTAAGTGAGTCAGTTAGATACGTTCTCACATCACCAGTTAGGAGGAAAACTTAATGTAGGAACCTTTGAGCATCCATCTTTATGTGGTAGCTTAAGTGAGTCAGTTAGATACTTTCTCACATCACCAGTTAGGAGGAAAACTTAATGTAGGAACCTTTGAGAATCTATCTTTATGTGGTAGCTTAAGTGAGTCAGTTAGATACGTTCTCACATCACCAGTTAGGAGGAAAACTTAATGTAGGAACCTTTGAGAATCCATCTTTGTGTGGTAGCTTAAGTGAGTCAGTTAGATACGTTCTCACATCACCAGTTAGGAGGAAAACTTAACGTAGGAACCTTTGAGAATCCATCTTTGTGTGGTAGCTTAAGTGAGTCAGTTAGATACGTTCTCACATCACCAGTTAGGAGGAAAACTTAACGTAGGAACCTTTGAGAATCCATCTTTGTGTGGTAGCTTAAGTGAGTCAGTTAGATACGTTCTCACATCACCAGTTAGGAGGAAAACTTAACGTAGGAACCTTTGAGAATCCATCTTTGTGTGGTAGCTTAAGTGAGTCAGTTAGATACGTTCTCACATCACCAGTTAGGAGGAAAACTTGAACGTAGGAACCTTTGAGAATCCATCTTTGTGTGGTAGCTTAAGTGAGACAGTTAGATACGTTCTCACATCACCAGTTAGGAGGAAAACTTAACGTAGGAACCTTTGAGAATCCATCTTTGTGTGGTAGCTTAAGTGAGACAGTTAGATACGTTCTCACATCACCAGTTAGGAGGACAACTTAGGGACCTTTGAGACTACAGTTCCCGGATCTTACAAGAGATAAGTTGTAATTTTCTTCCCTGTATTGATCAGTTTAACCAGTCGCCATTTTAGACTGTTGATGACGTCACCACCTGTCTTTCCAGGGATCGTGACGACAACAACAACAACAACAATCTGATGGCTTTATGTGACCTCCTAACCTTGTGTGACCCCGCCTGACCCCACCTGACCCCACCTGACCCCCCGTGACCCTCCCAGTGACCTGATCTCCTTCTCTCCTACAGAAGCGGCTGCAGAAGGAACTGATGTCACTCCTTAAGGAACCTCCACCAGGAGTGACCGTGGACGTGGATCAAGCCCATACTAAGCTGACTGAGTGAGTAACCGTTTGTGAGTTACTGGTTGTGAGTTACCGTTTGTGAGTTACCGGTTGTGAGTTACCCTTGTGAGTCGAGGTTTATGTGTCACACTCAGTCACTGATCAGTTGTGAGTGATGGTAACTCATATTCAACTTAAGATGGCTGAGTGAGTAACCGGTTGTGAGTACCTGAGTTACGAGACAAAATCCCATAAATTCCAAATATTTATGAGTACAGCTCTCAAAATCCCTCACCACCTCCTCCCACCCAAACTGGCTTTAAACCTAACCTAACCCACCCAGACTGGCTTTAAACTTAACCTAACCCACCCAAACTGGCTTTAAACCTAACCTAACCCACCCAAACTGGCTTTAAACCTAACCTAACCCACCCAAACTGGCTTTAAACCTAACCTAACCCACCCAGACTGGCTTTAAACCTAACCTAACCCAGGTAACTAAGCCACCTCTACTATTTCAGGTGGGTGGTCCACATGGAAGGCGCGTCTGGTACATTATACGAAGGAGAGAAATTTCAATTGCACTTCAAATTCTCACCTAAATATCCCTTTGATTCTCCTGAGGTAAGTGTGGTAGGGTTGTGGTGGTGGTAGGGTAGTGGTAGGGTAGTGGTAGGGGTAGTGGTGGTGGTAGGGTAGTGGTAGTGGTAGGGTAGTGGTAGTGGTAGTGGTAGGGTAGTGGTAGTGGTAGGGAAGTGGTAGGGGTGGTAGGGTGGTAGGTAGTGGTAGGGTAGTGGTAGGGTAGTGTGGTAGGGTAGTGGTGTGGTAGGTAGGGTAGTGGTAGGGGGTAGTGGTAGGTAGGTAGGGTAGTGGTAGGGAAGTGGTAGGGTAATGGTAGTGGTAGTGGTATTGATTTTGATTTGATTGTCCCCCTTACAGCGGCTACTTTATTGTGCACCCCACACTCATCCTGTGAGCGGTAGCGCAAAAGGATTACAGAGTAGAGTTTACAAAGGGTCATAATAATTAACCCCCGTTGTCAGGATATTATGGCACTGAAAGTTACACAGTATTTCATTTACATTATTTGTTTAGTTCTATACATAAAGGGTAACTTATTCACAACTGCGTGAGTACAGGCGTGTGAGGCAGTATGTCTGGCCTCACACTTTGTTAGTACAGGCATGTGAAGCAGTATGTCTGGCCTCACACTTTGTTAGTACAGGAGTGTGAGGCAGTATGTCTGGCCTCACACTTTGTTAGTACAGGAGTGTGAGGCAGTATGTCTGGCCTCACACTTTGTTATTCACATTTACGTGGGAGGTATTCAAGCACATTGCGTATTTGGTTCTGTACATGAGAATTGATATAGTTACTAAGTGCAAAAAAGTGGATACAATCTTAATATGTCGGCTATCTTGCCATTAGAGATGAAGTGTGCTTGGACCTGTCCCTGAAAGGTTCTATCTAGATTACAAGATGATGTAACAGCTAGACTAAGGTTAGGATATAAGTACCTCTGGCAGTATGTTCCTCAGGCCGATGTAAACAAAACTAAATGTAAAGTGTGTGGTAGGGTAGTGGTAGTGGTAGGGTAGTGGTAGGGTAGTGGTAGTGTAGTGGTAGTGGTAGGGTAGGGTATTGTCTAGTTACTAGTTATTTGTGTCTAGTTACTAGCTATTTGTGTCTAGTTACTAGCTATTTGTGTCTAGTTACCAGTTATTTCAAGTCAGTGATCTCACATTGGACGCAGGGCAGCACAGGGGAGACTCAGTGATGTGTCGAACTGTGCACATTAGTGGAGCAGGCGTAGGACTGTGCCATGCTAAGCCTCCTATGTGCTATGCTAAGCCTCCTATATGCTATGCTAAGCCTCCCATATGCTATGCTAAGCCTCCTATATGCTATGCTAAGCCTCCTATGTGCTAAGCCTCCTCTGTGCTAAGCCATGCATCTCACTATGTCCCTAACTTAAAGAATTAATGTATAACTAACATCACTTCCACCTAACACAGTAACTGATATGTTAGGTGAGATGTGGCAACACTGTAGGCATGGTCACCCCTCTCACCCCACTCACCCCACTCTCATCCCTCTCCACAGGTAATCTTCGTAGGTGATAACATACCTATCCACCCTCATATATATTCCAACGGCCATATCTGCCTTAGTATCTTAACAGAAGACTGGTCGCCTGCTCTCTCCGTTCAAGCTATCTGCCTATCGATCATCTCTATGCTATCATCCTGTAAAGAAAAGGTAAGTCGAGGAAGTTTGTTTTTATGTTTTAAGCTTATTTTGGGTTTTAAGCTTATTTTGTGGGTTTTAAGCTTATTTTGTGGGTTTTAAGCTTATTTTCTGTTAAACTTATTTTGTTTTAAGCTGATTTTGTGTTTTTAAACTTATTGTGTGGGTTTTAAGCTTATTTTGTGAGTTTTTACCTACAATGAAAGCTTAACATGTAAATGTGTACCTGTTAAGCTTTCATTGTAGATTTTAAGCTGAATAGAATCAAGATTTAGGTATATTATCCCCCCCAAAAAATGCTTTAATTGTGAATTTTAAGCTTTCATTCCATGTTTTAAGCTGAATAGAAAGCTTTATGAGTTTTTGGGAAGTACTTTTATTATAAGAAAGTAACTCGGCTTTTAATTGATATTCTATTGAGAGTCTAAATGAGCAACGATCTTTAATACTAAAATCAGTCGAGTCATAGCGTAAATAGCAGTCATAGCGTAAATAGCAAAGTCATAGCGTAAATAGCAACAAATAGCCCAAGATTATCACTAGATATCATCGCTATTAAATTTTATTCACATTACCTTAAACTAGACTAAATTACGTATGTTTTTTACGCTATTATAATCATTTGTTGGTTTACGGACAAACATATTACGTAAATTAATGCAACTTTAAAACGTAATTCTTTAGTAAAATGTCCTTTTGCGTACTTCCTCTCACCCACACCAGGGCCACAACATTCGGCCTCGTAAATCTTAATATTTAATTATCCCTTTGTTGATTTTTTTACCCCCTAAGCTGTGGTTCGCATTACACGGCAATTATTAATTTCGTTGTATTGTTTGATTCTGGGTCTGACTAGATTATGGGGTCATGTACGCTTTTATCTCTCACACACGTACATGGTAGCATTCACATGTCTGTTTGTAGGTGTTTCACTGCCTTCGTGATTTAGGGATCTGTCCCCTTCACTAGTGTGTTTACAGGGGCTGGTCATATAGCCTAGGTACAGTCATATAGCCTAGGTACAGTCCCCTTCACTAGTGTGTTTACAGGACTGGTACAGTTCACTAGTGTACATCATAGCCTAGGTACAGTCTTCACTAGTGTGTTTACAGGGGCTGGCCATATAGCCTAGGTACAGTCCCCTTCACTAGTGTGTTTACAGGGGCTGGTCATATAGCCTAGGTACAGTCCCCTTCACTAGTGTGTTTACAGGGGCTGGTCATATAGCCTAGGTACAGTCCCCTTCACTAGTGTGTTTACAGGGGCTGGTCATATAGCCTAGGTACAGTCCCCTTCACTAGTGTGTTTACAGGGGCTGGTCATATAGCCTAGGTACAGTCCCCAACCATAACATATAGTGAGGGCCAGGTGTGTACAGTGGTCCCTCTAGCAACAGTTCAATTAACGAAAATTTCTGTGAGCAATTACCCCCATAAGGATTTTCAGTTCCATTAACGAACAAAACTTCGATTAACGACAACCTTACGACTAACACGCCTTGGTCTGTGCCTCAGCTGTTGTTAGTCGTCTAGTCCGCCAATACAGTGGAGTAAATATCAAGAAAGTTGGTCTCTTGAATATTTCTGCATTTTTTCTATTAAAATTATTGGTCATTCTGAAATTTAGTTCACATATTGATAATATTCAGTGCAGAAATTATTATGAAACATGAAGAAGGCTTTAGAACCAATGGACTCTGTAAAGAATATGGCACGTCATCGACTGCTTCTATACTAAGCTGCTGGTAATACAACACCTCAGAGTAAGTTAAAATACAGTATTGTATTGTTTTTATATATTATTATACAGTATACAGTACTGTATTTAGTTTATATTGAATGTTTTGTTAATTCTATTACCAGTTTACAGTACTTTGTATGTATACTTTTTCTGTGAGTTGGAACCAATTACCCAATGAACTAATAGATTCAGTTAACGAAATTTCTGCTTAACGACGACTCTGTGGAACCAATTGTGTTCGTTAATCGAGGTGACCACTGTACTGTATTATTCCCCGCCCCCCCTCCCCTCCCCATTCCCTTGGCCCTACCCCTCACGTAACTCCGCCCGTGAACCCGCACTAAAACACGTTGTTCTTGTTTACAGAAGCGACCTCCAGATAACAGCTACTACGTCAAAACCTGCAGTGCCAACCCCAAGAAGACCAAGTGGTGGTATCATGGTGAGTGACCCGACCCACCAACCTAACCCTGACCCGACCCCACCCAACCTAACCCACCCCACCCACCCACCCACCTAACCCCACCCCACCCCACCCACCACCCACCCAACCTAACCCCACCCCACCCTATTACCCACAACTAACTAACCTAACCCCAACCCAACCCTAGACCAAGAAAATCCCCATTGAAATACTGAGAAATAAAAATGCTGAAAATTTCTAGTATAATATTTAATTCAATTTCAATTTATCTTTTTATTTCTAGATAATTAATAGTATATCATCCTAGTTATGACTCCTAGCATTACAGATGGTAGTTCAATATCATCCTAGTACAGTCGTTAACCTCAAATCACCTTGTTCCGTTTTCTTTTCCAATGTTGTGATATCATCCTATTAACAATACTAATCCCCCCCCATAGTTAAGTACATGTTCTTCGTTCCAGATGATACAGTATGATATGACCCCAGAGACAGTACTTGACCCCTAAACAAGCTACGTGTCGTTAAGTGCAGCTCCCTCGACCCTAGGTGATGTGCAATAATATGATAAATGAGACGGAAAAACAAAGGAAATTAAACATTGGGCGCTGAGTGACAGAGAGAGACAGAGAGAGACAGACAGAGAGAGAGAGAGAGAGAGAGATGTTTTGATGGACAATGTCAAGTCCAAGGTCCCCCTCCAGATACATCCCCAGCTTAGTTCCCCCAGCTTAGTTCCCCCCCCAGCAATCCCTCTGTGCTGGGTCAGGATATACAGTAGGGGTCACTGTATTGCACTGTACCTTTGCTGAAATGATGCTGTTATTACATACAGAAATCAACCACAATCACTACAATTGTATCTTCCAATCAGCAAGATTTGCTACAAACTCTCTAACCACAATCTCAACCACTCTACCACAATCTCAACCACTCTACCACAATTTCAACCACTACCCCATTACACTCAACCATAATGTCCACCAGGCTTATTATCACAATCTCAGATCAACTACCACAATCTTCAATCAACCACAATCTCAAATCAACCACAATCTCAAATCAACCACAATCTTCAATCAACCACAATCTCAAATCAACCACAATCGGCCATAAATTGCTATGAGCTTACTGTTCTGTACTGTATTAAAATAGAAATAATCTAAAAAAGAAGCAAATTTGGTATGAAAAAACACAAACAGGCTTTAAAACAGAGCTAACTTTATGTATTAAGCGATCAGTATTGTACCGACTCTGTGTGTGTTTGTCTGCGTGTGGATCTAATCTCAAGCGAGGTGTGTGTGTGTGTGTGTGGATCTATTATCAAGTGAGCCTTTCTTTTTTGTGCTTGTGGATCCAATCTAAGCAAGACTCTCTGCGTGTGGATCCTATCTGAAGCAAGACTCTCTGCGTGTGGATTCAATCTGAAGCAAGACTCTCTGCGTGTGGATCCTATCTCAAGCAAGCCATCTCCTGCGTGTGGATCCTATCTCAAGCAAGCCATCTCCTGCGTGTGGATCCTATCTGAAGCAAGACTTCTCTGTGTGTGGATCTATCTCAACAACCCATCTCCTGCGTTGTGTGGATGTGTGCGGATGAACAATTACTCACATCTCTTTAACCCAAAGACAATGAATTTCCTACAATCCTGTGGTATTTTTTTTCCCGTTATTTTTAAGTCCTTGTTGACGAAGGTTCGGCATTTTGGCCATTTTATTTAATCATTCAACGGACGATGATTTTGTTAATATCTTTTGTCGTAAGGTTAAATTTAGCCTGAATTCTTATACTGAAGCCATTGAGTGTGTTAATAATTAGTGGTGGATGGTTAGTTTAAACTCTTAACAGGTGATTGAAGCCTGAGTTAACTTGTTAAATTGAGCGTGTCCTTGTAAGTCAGTGCTAGAGACATGTTAAATTGACATAAAATCCTCAGTTAATGCTAAGTCTATGTTAAAATGACCTAATCCCTCTTATTTAACACAAGTAACATGTTAAAATAACGTTTCTACACAGATCAACTAAAAAATAACCTATCAAACACATCCATAGGATTTCTAAGCTAGACACACAACTTCCGACACTACTTGCGACACTACCTCCGACTCCTGGACTACCTCAGACCTGTGTCGAATTATGGCGACGCGTAGAATGCTGTGTTGTTGTGTCACGGGTTTTTTTTTCGTTGATTATAAACTGTTTCTTTGAGGAGTCTTGAGGGTGTGTGTGTCATGTTAAGATGTTATGCACTGAGGTGTCATATTGTGGTATCATGTTAAGGTGTCATGTCAGGGTGAAAAGTTGGGTGTGTCACGTCAGGGTGTCTGAATGTGTCATGTCAGGGTGTCATGTTGGCGTCTCTGTGCAGGTGTCAACTTAGGTCAATCATACAGCCTCGTTATAGGTCAATCGCTCCAAGCTGTTGAATCAGGGGTCGTTAGTATTTTAAACGAGGTTATGTGAAGCGCAGTCATCCATCATCCACACAATCATCCGTCATCCACACAGTCATCCATCCACACAATCATCCGTCATCCATCATCCACACATAAGGTACATCAAAAGGAATTTTAGGTACAAACAGCATCATCCAGTCATCTAATCATCCAGTCATCCACAAAACCCACTCAGTAATGCACCTCAAAGGTTAATTTTGCTGGTATTTGCAAGACAATTTAATGAGGACTTAGAGATGCATTAACCTGGTACACACTCACAACACACTACTTAATGGACTTACGACATTATTATCCTGTTACACACAGCTTAACTTTAGACGAACAAGAAATTAAGCTGTTACTGTTTTCAAAAGCTTAGCATAGTGAAATATAACATGGACTTAATTTTAGATGAACAAGAATCAAGCTGTTACTGGTTTAAAAAGCTTAGCATAGTGAAATATAACAGGAAAATCACAGTTTAATTTTACATGAACAAGAATGAAGCTGTTACTGGTTTAAAAAGCTTAGCATAGTGAAATATAACAGCAAATTCACAGCTTAACTTTAGACGAACAAAATTCAAGCTGTTACCGATTTAAAAAGCTTAACATAGTGTAATAAAACATGAGCTTAGGATAATACGATCAAAAAAGAAATATTGTTTTTCGATCAATGTTTGAGTAGCTTAGTCAGCTAACCCAACCCACGCACTTACCTTGAAATATGACGCACTTACCCTGAAATATGACGCACTTACCCTGAAATATGGCCTTACCTGAAATATGGCACTTACCGAATATGCGTACTTACTTCGAAATATGGCGACTTACCTGAAATATGGCCTTACCTTGAAATAGACGCACTTAATCAAAATTATGGCACTTGATATATTCTCTCTCTCTCTCTCTCTCTTCAGAAACTCAAAATATTTTACCTTGGTCCTGTATCACCATCACCTCTACAGATATTAATTCCTTTCTACATAACTACAGTAAATGCTAATAAAGGTTCATTAGCATAATATATTACTACAGAAACCACCCTAACTATTACTGTAGGCTAATTAACTCCCCATAACTACTACTGTAGGCTAATTAACTAACCATCTCCCCTACAGAAACACTACAGGATTTAATTACCTTCTCAACCGCTTAACAACCAATCGACAAACTCTCGCTCAATTTAGTCCCTTTGGTGAGGGTTTAGCAGTGGCTTAATGATCCGACACTCAAGCGGCAGTTAAGAGTTTAGACTGTTTGACGAACGACTGTGTACAGTTATGGCGAGACCATTTAAGCATTTCGATGTAAACTTTAAGTGGCTGAGGATAGCGTCTCTGGCAATAAATTAGTTAGGTCTCACTTCTTGTTAACCTAACAAAACTAAGCAAAATCTAACCAAGCCAACTAACCTAATCTAACCTAACAAACTAACAAATCAACCCAACCTAGCTTAACCAAGCCTAACCAAGCCTAAGCAAAATCTGACCGAGCCCAACCCGCCCAATAACCTAATAGCTAACAAAATCTCAACCAAGCCAACTAACTAATCTAAGCCAAGCCTACAAAATCAGCAAACTAACTAACCTCAACAAGCCCAAACCTGGCAAAAATCTAACCAAGCCTAACTAATATAACCTAGCCAAGCCTAACAAAATCTGGCAAGCCCAACCTTAATCCTACAAACCCTAAAATCTGTAACCTAACTAACAAAAATCTAACAAAATCCCAACCCAACCAAGCCTAATCCCTAGCAAACCTAACAAAATCTGAACCAAGAACCTAACCAAATCTAGCAAATCTATTATAACCTAATCTAACCAGCCTAGCCAAATTGTCAAATATAAATACCCCCTTTAGGGTCCCCAGTGGTAAAGTTGAGGATCAATTTAGCATATTAGCCTGATTTGCTTAATGAGGGCCAATTTAACAAAAATGAGTTGTCTGGTTTTGAAATTGGGATGAGAAGAATAGCTCGGTTGTATTGTTTTTATATCAAAAGCTGTTTAATTGGGAGCTTGTTAAATTGTATTTGTTAATTTAATATTTAAGTCTAGATGCTGTTTGTTAAAATTAGGATCATGTTAACTTAGAAATGTTAAAATTAAATCACGTTATATCGGAAAGTGGTGAAATTGTGGCTCAAATATTAATGTAAATCGTAAAAAAATGTTAAAATCAAATCACGTTAAGTCGTAAAAAAAGTTAAAATCAAATCCCGTTAAGTCGTAAAAAAAGTTAAAATCAAATCCGTTAAATTAGGTAAAAAAGTTTAAATCAATCCCCGTTAAGTTAATTAAAAAAGTTAAATCAAATCCGTTAAATGGTAAAAATGTTAAAATGGGTCCGTTAATGACTGACCCTGACCCCTAGATGAACTCTTCGATTTCATAAACAGAACACGATCCAGCATTCTCTTTCCCTCTCTCGTTTTTTGGCAATACTTTTAAGTCAAAAAATAAATAAAAGTTGTGATATTAGTCAACTTTTTCACTACTTTTATGAGGTGTAATGTGATATTATGTGTAAAATCAATTCCTCTTGTGTTACTGAGTGGAAATTTATTTATTTTTTTTTTTTTTGGTGGAATTTCGGTGACCTGATCCTAGCTCCTGGGGCGTGTGTGTGTGTATTCTGTATATTGTGTCTGTATGTATATGTGTATAAGATATAATGTAAATTATATATATATGTAACCATGTATATTTATGTATGAATTTACTATATATGTATGAGGAAATGCTTTGTATGCATATGTTATCCATTCCATTACTGTATGAAGTCTCCATTATGGCAGGTGTATTAATCCAGAGTATTTAGAGTTTATTGTTTTTGATTTCTATTGACATATACATATTTATATGTATATATAAATATTTACTGGAATATTGTTTGTTTGTAAGAGTGTATTTAATTTAGGCCTTAGGTTGGGTTGGGTGTGTGTGTGTGTGTGTGTGTGTGTGTGTGTGTGTGTGTGTGTGTGTGTGTGGGCTCTGTTGTGTGACATATCTGCCTGTCTCTGCGTAAACTAGCGTTAAGGCAAAAGCCAACGTAAAAACAACATAAACAAATGGTATCAGGTCCTG